CCCCGGCTCCCTGGAGAACCCCTCTTTGGGCAGATCCAAGTGTCTTCTGAGCGGGAGCCCTGCTGAGCGGCGCGACACGGGGCCGAGCAGCCGCGCCGCGAGCAGCACGAGAGCCCGGCACCCAGGGGTGCTCTCACCCAACGGGAGAGCTCCTTTCCTGCTGGTTTGCGCTCATCGCAAAACGACGTAGCAAAGAAGCCCTGCGACAGGCACAGGGACCTGCGCTGCAACCCTGCCCCGCTGGAAGGGACGCTGCAGTCCTTTCCCCGGGACGCTGCAGGCAGCGATGCTCACCCTTCGCCACCAGGAGCATCTCGTGCTGTGGGACGTGCCGAAGAAGAGCGCTGGGGTAGGGAGCAAGCTGGGCAGACACCGAGAGCCAGCAGCTTGCTGACTTCAGGAGACCGAGAAGTCCTTTCAAAGTGGGGCTGCCTTGGAAAGAGCTGGAGGAAAGGGACTTAAAACACTGACACACTGCCATGTCCCCAGCACCCTCTTTCTGCTATTTATCCTCCCATTCCGGGAGAGGAAAATGCTTCTTATTCCTCCTTTGCCCTTGAGAATCCACAGTGCCCTGGAATAAATCACACGAGAGGTCTGGGTTGGGGTGGGAAGGGGTTTTCCCTTCCTGGGAAGGGAAGTAACCAGGACAGTCACTGGACTGTGGCTGTCCTGGGTGCCCCACGTCCCCCCAGCGTGTGCAGAGCTGTGTCACCCCGCTGTGCTATGGCCTGCGAAGCCTTGGAGCAAAGGCAGCTGCGATCCCGGGACGAGGCGACGGCTCCAGTCTCCCAGCACCCGGCTTGCTCCACGCGGCTCCAACAGCCTTCTGGAAGGACGGGCAGTGCCCTTCCCCTCAAAGCACGTCCTTTCCTCTGCACGCTTTTGAGGGACCATCGCTTTAAATCGTTGGCTTCGCTCTCTGCTCCAAAACCTGGTGCTTGCGCCATGTATTTGATCTGTTGTCATGGCATTAGCGTTAAATTGTATGTCCTGTAAGGAACCCCGCACCATCTGGTTACATCAAATAAGAGGAATATAATGAACCACATGCTCTCCCCTGCTCCGACGGATGCGGTTCGTGCATGTCTCTCTGCGCACCGGGGGGAAAGCACGGCTGACTACGTCTGACCATTGACGTGGTAACACAGCTTGGCCTGCTTTCTTCAGGCACTCGGATCGCCCATCACTGCTGAATGATTTCAGCAAAATTGAATTGGCCTGATCTCAGGTCCTAGCACTGCTCCTGTCCATCAGCAATCCTTCCCAAAAAGCAAGCTTAATGATTGCTCCAGCTTTAATTTGTTAATACTTGCAAGAGCTGCTCATGGAGTTTGCAAGAGTTCAAAAAACAGGGGATAAAACAAAGAGAGCGATCATTATAGCTCTTAAAATTAAACACATTTCTGCCGCGAGAGGCCAGGCGCTCATATTCAAATCCAGGAGGAGCTGGGGTTCTTTGATTCCTTTGCAAACAATCGAAAAAAGAGGTGGGAAAAAAAAACAAGAAAAGAAAACCAACTGTTTCCTGGCAGGCACACACAGAGCTTGGGTACGGCGCTTGGCTTCGCGGCATCTGTATCACATGTCCCCCGAGCTGGGAAAACCATCAAGTATCGCTCGTTCTCTCATGTGGCCTGAGATGCTCCAAACAATCCGACTCCTCTCCCTCCTGGTTTGCTGCCTTTTCATTTAGCCAACAATTATCCTTTAATTTCCAGGTGTCTTTTTAATGAGACAACATGATACCACTCTGCTTGCCCCTCCTTCCCTCTACCTGCGTCTCTAATGTTGCTTTAACCTGCGTTCCCACCGCAGCCAGGCTTCAAATACCACGTGTCCCATGCAAAAACCCCTCAGCTGGCTGCAATTCCCCACTAGGAAATACGTGCTTTATGTTGAGAAAATGGACTTAAACAGCAACAAAGGGAGCACAAAGCATGTTTAGCACCAAACTTGTCACACCGAGGCCCAGATTGCTTCCCCCTCTTGGGCGGCACGGTCTCGCCAGCGGGGAGAGCGGAGAGCAGGAAAGAGGTCCCTTCTCTGCAGTCGCTTTGCCCCCGGGGCCCCCCCGGTTTTGCACTTCAGTGCACTCCTCCTGAGCTGCACCCCCTGCGGATGGGGATTAGCATTTTCCCCCGACGTGTTTCTAAAGCTCTTCGCAACCCTCTTCCCGCAGGGCTGCCCTTAGCTGCGAACTTGCACTGAACATTTGGTAGATCCATACGAGAGCCAGATTGCTCCGGTGTCACGGCAGTAAACTCAGCCTCTAATTTCTTTGCGAACGGTGCGATTCGCCTCCCACGCACGCTGACACCGCGCAGAGCCCGCTCTCCTCCTCACCCAGCAGCCCCAATGCCTTGGCCGACGTGGCCGAGCTGCGTGCCTCACCGCGCAAGGGCGGCTTCGTGCTCCCGGCCCTTCTCCGGGACCGGGTTTCAGCCCCAGTCCTGCCCAAACGGGTGCAGCAGGGCTGGGGGGACACTTACTTCTCTGGGAGCGGGCGCAGCAGAAGGCGACGATGGTGGCCATCAGCACCAGGAACGCCACGCCGGCGCCCACGGCCGCCATCGGCACCGACTCTGCAAGAGGACAGAGAGGGCGCATGAAGCCGGGACGAACGTCGGAGCGCGTCTCTCCCCCGAGCACGCGGCGAGCTCCCCTGGCTACCTGGGGAGGATTTTGGGGGCCTCCCTCCCCTCCTCCCCAAAACAGACCTCCTTCCCCACTCCCCCCCCCCGGCTG